ATATATTACACACATGTGTATACATGTATTTTATGTACGTGTGATTGTACAATAAAATACGTAGAAATCTGAAAACAATTTTTGCATTTAACTATAAACACACACATTTGCATACTACATGTGTGTCTATGATGTCTGATATTTACTCTCACCATGCAGGAGATGCTTTCCATGATTTATTTTACTTATTTCCCAAAATAACCTTATGGTATAAATAACCCATGAAGAAAATGAAACTCAATAGTTTTTGTAATTTGTCATACTGCATATTTTTAAACACTAGGGCTGAAATTCAAGTTTCCCTGTTTAACTCCTAAGTGCTGAACCATTCTGCTATCCTAAGTACAGCTCCTACCTAACCGAGCACTTACCATGATCCAAACACAGAGCAAGTGTATTGTTAATAGCCACTATTTAATTTTAACAACAATTTTATGACGGATATCGTTATCCCCACTTTTCAGATTTTGTAAATTGGGCTTAGACATTTTAAATATACTTCCCAACATCACAGAGTAGCAAGTGGAAAAGCAAGTATCTAAACTCCCATCTTTCTGACTCAGAACCAGGCATCCACTTGCAACAAATTACAGCTATAGTGAGGATATCTCTATTCGTAATATTTTTGCTAAATGAAACAACTACTTAAACACCCTGTGTTTCATTTACCACCATGTTGGGCTCGAAATGTTGATTTTGTAAAAATAAGTCCAGGAAATGGAAGGTGAAAGCTGTTTCTTATTAAGTATCTATTCTGTGAATTTGAAACATCATAGATGACCTCACATAGCAATAAATAAAAATCACGTTATTTATGGAGAAAATTTTTATTTAAAAATTATATAACTATACAACCCTACATTGTTACTGTACTATAAAAATGCAGCCAAGTAGGAGCAAAAGTTTCAAATAAATTGAAGAAACAAAACAATATTATCAACATTGACAGACAAATTTCTTTTTTAAAGATTGAATTAGGGAGGAGTTTGACATTATGTCAGGACAATAGGACTTGAGGATATATCTGTGACGTTGTAGACGAATTTTCTTATTTTGTTTTAAGCTCTCATCTTTATTACTTTTAAATAACTGGACTTGCATTGCTTACCTACGATAATTTGAAATTGCAGTTTCTTAAAGTCATTTTATGACTTTCTTTCAGCTTCATAAATTTCTGATGATTTTTTATTTTCTTTCCAAAAATCGCATAGTTAATATCCTAAACTCTGTCTAAGTTCACGTGGAATAACAGAGTTGGTCATATCAAAATCAAGACAATTAAACCTCCATCTCTATGACAGTCTGAACAGATGTGTGAGGATATACAGATTTACCTTCCAAATACAAATCTGAAAACCTTCCACAAAGTAACCAGCACCTCCTCATTTCAATTAATCTTCTGCTTTATTCTATCATAGAATGTTTATCTAAATTCTAATTGGAATTTGCATATTTCTAGCCTTTGTGCTTTTATTCATTTCAAACTTTGATATTTCTAGAAGGAATGAAACATCATCCTTGGGTGTAACAATACCTATATCATCCCAAATATTTTTATAGTAGTACCTTTCATATTTTTCAAAGGAAGACTGATTTTGTGTGAGAAAAAAGATACACCAAAAGATAATACTTTTCAAATATTATTTTATATGTATGAGTTGATTGTAATTAGTAGCATTTCTTGATGTTTTCACAACACATCTGGCGTATTTTTCAAAGATATAGTTGTAAATAATAGTAAATCTAGTAGGAGCTATTAGATGTTCATTATTTAGATATATAGCATCAATATTTTTTAATTGAAATATACTTTCAGGAAAAATCCTTTCTTTAGGATTCCTTTTAGTTTCAGCAACAATACGTAGAGAGATCAGTGTCTTTTTTTCAGTTTAAAGACATTTTCTTAAACTTGAGGCACGCTTTTAAAGTCTGTCTCATAAAAAAGTAGAAACAGTTTAATTCGTTATGATCAAATTATAACACCTGATATTTGAAGATGCGATCTGTGGTGCCATGCATAGAGATACTATTTCAGAATTCTTGACATCAAATAAAACTTTCCCATCAAAGCTTAAAGAACATTTATTCTTTTATATTCTTGTTTGCCCAGAAGTTTCCTCTTTTATTCATTTATTTCAATCACTAAGCCTTACTTTTTGAGTCTAAAGAACTTGCTAAATACTGAGACAGAGTACTTCACAAAATTGTTGCCTTAAAAGTGTTAATACCTAAAGGGATAAGACTTCCTGGGTCCATCCGCTAAGCAGTGTGAAGTATAAAGACAAAAGCAGAATAATTAGAAAGACTGGGGTGTCAACATAATTTTCTTAGTATTTATTACCTGAAAACCTTGTCAATAAACAGAATATAATTGTAAACTTTGGCAACAATTAATTTTGTGAGGTTAGTATTTTAAATTCAAGAATTAAAAAAGACATATGTTTTGAGATGTTTCCTTATTCTTTTAAGCCATAACAATGTTTGATTGTTCAGTCCAATTTCCTTTCACCATTGTACAGAAAATATTCTTAATAACGTAAGCAATTGCTTTTCTTTACACAGGAAGTGATGTGAGGATGGACACACAACATGGTGATACTCGTGCTCATGAATAATTTTCAATGGGGCAGTTTTAGGGAGATAGTGAAATGGGTTTGGAAAAGCATGGACTTTGGAATCAGCGAGATTGGACTTGTATCTTGAGTTTGTCATAAACGTTACTGAACCTCTCAACTTTAATTTCTGTGTATATAAAATTGATATTTTTGCATACATAAAATTTATAAAAATCATATAAATAGTAGGCACTTTATAAAATTTGCTTCCTTTCCTCTTTCATCCTTCAACATCACCACCTTAGATATCTTCAATATTATACCATCAGCTTCCACATTCATGTTTTCAAAATTGGAGAATCATCAATCCCATGCAGAGGCTTTAGCTTTAGTCCTAACAACATCTTTGCCTCATGGGAAACATTTTGGAAATAATGACTTGGTGTCAAGGAAGGGAGCCAATCACTTCTCACATCCTTCAGGAATTGTGAAAAAGAAATCATTCCAGATAAAATGTCAGACTGATCATTTCCATTACAATTTTCAAAAAGCCATTGCAAATTGAAACCAAGGATTGAGTGAGCATTTAGATCTATAAACTTAAATTTCTCTTTTCTACTTGCAAGCTTAGAATTACAAATACCTCACTTCAAAAATCTGACTTTCAGGGTCTGGAGAAATTTTAATCCGTCAAAATTCCCCCTTCTCCCTACACTTCAACCTCTTTCTTTTTATCAATGCTTACTTTCCATTAGATAAAAACATATCCAACTGTTGCCCATTTTAAAATAAAGATAAAATAAAATCTCTCTCTCAACTTGCTGTTCCCCTCTCGAGCTTGCTTTCCCTGGGACGGTTTAATGAGTGGGTAGTCCACATTCAACACCTAAATTTCGTTTCCAAGTACTTTTGTCTTGTCACCTCACAAAACCTACTGCTGCCCCAATATTTATAGATATCTTCTGGTCATGAAATCCGAAGGATAATCTCTTATGTTATTTAGTATTTGACTCTGTTGACCACTCTTTCTTACTCTCAACACCACCCTGCCTTGCTTGCAGGACGTTTCCCTTTCTTTTCCTGCCTTTCTGTCGCCTCTTCTTCTACTGCACATAGTGTTGGTGTTTCTCTGGCTTCTGCTCTCAGTGCTTTTCTTTGTACAACTTTATCACTTCCCTGGACTTCAAATTATCCCCTGTATTCTGATGGCTAACAGTACTCTTATTCCCAAGCCCAGAACACTCTTTTGAGTTCTAAATCCATGTACCTAACTTTCTGCTGGATGATTCAACCTGACTATGAAATAGACATCTCGGGTTCAAAGTGGTAAAACTTGAACTCATCCTTTTCTCAGATTTGAAGGTTTTTTCCCCCATTTTGAAAACTGTTTATATCATAGAGATAGCCTCCAAAGCCAGAAATGAGTATTTGGTATATTTGCCTATACCATGTCCCCAATCCACATTATTAATCCATTTAGTTATTCAAAGCATCTTTATTTACCATTCAATTTACGCTAGGTACTGTTCTAGATGCTTAGGGCATACTCATAAACAAGATAAACAATAACTTCTCTCATAGTGTTTATGATCTAGTGGGAAGAGGGTAGCCAATGAATAAGTAACAAATAAAAAAAGAACAAGGTTTTAGATAATGGAAAGTAAGAAAGGATATTAAGCTTGGTGGGAAAAGGATATGTAATTTATGATTAGATTTAGTTGCATAAAACAAAACCTAAAATAACAGTGACTTTAATATTGAAATTTATTTATTTCTCATTGTAGAGAAAATCCATTCATGGGCAGTCCAGAACTTGCATAGTGGCGTCATTTTCTTCAGGAAACTCTGAGGCAATTTCCTCTGCAAGTCTTATATAGAGCTTCTGTTATGGACTGAATATTTACGTTTCCCCAAATTAATATGATGAATGTCTACCCCTCAATGTGGTGGTATTAAGAGGTAGGCCCTTTGGGGGCTAATTAGGTTTAGATGAGGTCATGAGGGTGGAACCCTCATTAATGGGATTAGTGTCCTTTAAGAATCATGAGCCAGTTTGCTTCTGTCTCTGTTCTCAGCCACGTGAGGACACAAGGAGAAGTTGGCAGTCTGCAACCCAGAAGAGGATTCTCATCAGAACCCAGCCATGCTGGCACCCTGATCTTGGGCTTCCAGTCTCCAGAACTATGAGTAATAAACATCTGTTGTTTATAAGCCACCTAGGCTATGGTACAGTAGTCCCCCTTATCTGCAGGCGGTGCATTCCAAGACCCCCAGTGGATGCCTGAAACTGCAGATACTACCAAATCCTATATATACTATATATTTTTCTTATACATACATACTTACGATAAAGCTTAATTTATAAATTGGGCACAGTAAGAGATTAACAACAATAGCTAATAATAAACTAGAACGATTATAACAACATACTGTAATAAAGGTTATGTCAATATGTTTTCTCTGTCTCTCTCAAAATATCTTATTGTACTGTATTCACGCTTCTTCTTGTGATGATGTGAGGTGATACAACGCCATGTGATGGGATGACGTGAGGAGAATGATGTAGGCATTGCAACATAGCATTAGGCTATTATTGGCCTATTGAAGGAGGAAGGAGGATCATCAAGTGACGGGGATGTTGATTGTTGGAGGTCAGGAGCAGTGATGTCAATGGCTGAGGATACAACAAAGGGATGATTCACAACCCAAGCAGGACAGAGCAAAGTGGCAAGATTTCATCCTGCTACTCAGAATGGTGTGCAATTTAAAACTTATGAATTGTTTATTTCTGGAATTTTCCATTTAATATTTTTGGATCATGGTTGACCGCAGGTGCTGAAACTGCAGAAAGTGAAACCTCGGTAAGGGAGCATTACTGTACTTTGTTGTAGCAGCCTGAGCTGACCGAGAGAACTCCTAAGTCAAGATCACTTCTGTGTTCATGAAGTCAGCTGGGACTTCAACCATTGAATCTAAGTTCTAGGCAGCAAAAATCAGAAAGCACAGAAGAGAAAAAAGAGGCACATATCAAAAAAGTTCACACCTCCCCATAATATTATTAGAGACTGCAAAAACCATGGTCATTTAACTAATTTGCTACAGTATGCTGAAACGGATGCTGTCATTTTGCTGGTTTCATTGCTACTCCAAATGAACTTGCATTGTGTCAGTAAGGAAAGCATGGAGAAAGGATTCCTGATGGGCAGATGTCTCTGCTGTAGGTGGCTATTTAGTTAGCCATAGCAGGGAGGGCCTTCCTGAAGGAGTGGAATTTCAGCACTAATTTTGATCATCACATACCATTGACTTCATCCCCTTAATAAGCCATTTTGAATCTGTTTTCTAATCTCTGTTCCCTTTGCCCCTGACCTCCATTAGCAAAGGTCCTCACTACTCCTCCCGTCTCTGATAGCGTCATCCTCCTAACTAGTCTCACATCTCCAGTCTGATTACCACCACAGAATCAATTCTGCATGATGCTGTCCTAGAGCTTTTTGAAATACAGATCAGATCCTTGAACTTCCTAGATTAAAATCCTTTAATGTTTTCCATTGACTCAAGGCAATAGCCTCTGAAATCTTTCATGAAAAGCTCCCGGATCACTCGATATTTTACTTTTTCTTCTTCTCCCACTAAACTCTAATTTCTAGGCATGAATAACAGCTTAAAAAACTGAGTTTTTCCCATCCTTCTACTTGAAGGTATTGGCTTCTCTTCCCAATAGACCCTCCTCCCATCCAGCTATGTCTAGACAAGGCATACACATTTAGCCTTTATAACTCACTTGATTGCACCTATTTGTTTAAGCTCATCCTGAATCTCGTACCCCCATCTTTAAACATACTAATCTTTTTTGAAGCTCCACTATTTACAATTATTATCAATTTTTATTGTTCCATCTATTGATCTTTCATGATAAACTGCACACTATCTAGTTGTGGGATTGTGGCTTTTATTTCTAGATCCAATTACCTCTTTCTGAGACAAGCACATTTTAGATACTTTGTAAGGTTTTCTTGAGTGAATTAAACTCATTAGCCTTCCAGGCTGAAACTTTAAAGTTCTCCTCTGCTATTACCCGTCCCTTAGTTATGGCATTATTTTCTATTTATGCTATCTCTGCGGCTTCTCTCTCATCCAACCTCTTCATTAATCCCTGCTTCAGGTGTCCATTTCTGACCATTTTCACCACATATTTGAATCATCACAATATTACAAATTGATTTCTCTTCCTTTATTCTCTCACCCTTTTGATTGTTTTTACATAGTATTTGGTTTGCTAATAAATTTTAACAGTGACACAACACAGATCTTACCATATCTTGGTACTGAAACCAAGTTTCAATAATCCCAAATTATTCACTTAAGTCCATTTTATTGTAGCATGGAATTCAAAACTTTTCAAGAATTAGTTACATCTTCTTTCCAGGTTTCTATTTTATTTTCACCTCTGCTACCCTCCACCTATCTTTTGATCTTTGTCCGAAGGGCCGTCTCTAGGAAGAAGGCATCACTGAGCATGAGGCATTCTGTCAGAGACGTCAATTTTGTGGATGGTGTGGTGCACTTTTGGGATGTGAGTGAGGCCAGTGGCACATAAAGCAGATGACCCAAGAGGCCCAGAAAGTTTCATGGGAGACTGAACTACCAGGTAGACTTGACAGGCTGGTCCAGCAATATATTCTTCCATTCAATCTTTAACTGGAAGGGGTTCAGTGGGGGCAAGGGTTTCTATTTGAAAGTGAATTCAGGGCTTGCTCCCTTACGTGATTCTAAGATAAGGAACCCAGGTCTGGGACTGAATGGGAGGAGGAAAAAACAAAATAATTTAGTAGATTAATTAAAAAGGTTTTTTTCTTGGTTGCTTTTCTAGTTTCATTGTGAAGTGTCCCTTTAGTTTAAAATAATGTTACCCTCATTTCTTCTATAGATTCTTTTATAAGAACTCAATGAAGCACATAACTGTTCCCTTACAATATTAATTTTATTAATCCTCTGGCAGCATTGCATTTTATCAAAGGCATATGAGATTAAGAGGAAGTCGTATGTGAGGTCTCCTTTAATGTATTGCAGTATATGTAAGACAAAATGCTGTCCCAGTAAAAGCTATCCACAGGAATCTAAAAGATCACGCACCTGATTTTTCTTTTTTGGTAGCAGAGCGTGCTTTGCCTTGTGAATAAGAGAAAAAATCCTCTCTCCATTCCCCCTGGAGTTTTTGCTTCAACCCATAGCGACAAAACATCATCTGTCTCTCCTAAAGTGTCAGAATGATAAAAACGCTCAAAATTGTACCCCTCCTTCAAAATAAAAGTTAAATATTTTCTCTACCGTGAAGTTGCGTTTAATCTCATCAGCCAAAGTAGTCTCACCTGCTGTGATCTCATAGTATTTGGTTTGCTAATAAACTTTAAAATTTATCAGACTTTACCTTCAATGGTATTTAGCTTATTCCATACCAATGCTCCTCATTTTGTGCTAGTCTTTAGAGCCTCAATGAGAAATATTTAGCTCAGTGTCTTCCACTAAGCCGAGTGCGGTCTCTTACACACAGTTTTCGTGCTGAGGCGGTGCTCTGCTGAATAGATGCTGGCGATTGGATGAGGTTGATTACTGACTCTGCTCATTCCTAACTGTGCAACCTTAGGCAAACTACTTAATCTTTTTGTTTTCTGAGTTTCCTTCTCTCGAAAATGGTGAAATATGGACACATATCTAATAGATTATTGTGAAGTTAAAAGTGAGGTAAACAGGGGCCAGCCTCGTGGCGTAATGATTAAGTTCATGTCCTCCGCTTGGCAGTATCGGGTTCGTGAGTTTGGATCCCGGCCACGACCTACACACTACTCATCAAGCGATGCTTGGCATCTCACATGCAAAATAGAAAAAGATTGGCACAGGTGTCAGCTCAGTGACAATCTTCCTCAAGCAAAAAGAGGAAGATTGGATTGGCAACATATGTTAGCTCAGGGCCAGTCTTTCTCACAAAAAAAAAGAAAGAAAGAAAGAAAGAGAGAAGTCAATAAAACTGTAGAGTTTTGTGTACTTAAAAAGCAGTCCATAAATATCACCCATTGTTATTACATGCTTAGTGAATAGACATAACCTCTAGGAAATGAATTTAAATGTCTTCTTTCTATCTTTTAAACTCAAAGCTCAATGTATTTTAAAATTTTAATTGATGCCGCTTGTATATAATTATTTTATTTTCGTTGAGCTCCTTTAATATTTATAGCATAGGTTAGCAAATAAAGCATTTAGTTTTGAACTCCTTTGCCCTATTGTCTAATATGTGGAATTTGACCTCCCTTGAATGTTGTGACACAGGTTCTGTGACTGACGATAGATGTGTACCCAAAGGTAGCAGAACTGAGGACTGTACCAGGCAAACTCCATTGCTATGTGGCAATTGAGCAGAAAAGAAAATAAGGAAGTATGAGTTTGGGTGCTTTCCCATTTCTTCTTCTTTCCCCTCAATCTTCTACATCCTCATAACTTTAAGCCACACGTCTTCCAGTTTGGTAAGTGGCGTTTCCCTTGATTAACAATGTAACCAAGCTTAAAGACAATCCATCCCCTCCCTTATGTTAGAAGTGCCTATGACATAATAACATCTCCATGTGAGAACGAATTTTACAGTTCCATTCCTACCTGACACCTGGCTGCCTGTGACGGGGGCCTCTCCCAAGGAATAGCTCATTCCTTTTCCAATTTTAATTCGTAGAATATTTCTGTTTGGATTAAACTGATATTTGTTTCCCCAAAACGTATGTATGCATATATGTGTATATAGCCTGGTCTGCTTTTTGTATTTCAGAGCTCTGCAGAATATAAGTTCAATCCTCTATGACATGTTAAATCTCAGATATTTGGAGAGAATTCTTAGCTTCCTCCTGAATGTTTTTAGCTCCAGCTTGTGGAAGAAATGAATGATGGGGTCTCACGAGTACAATCCTCACTAGTTTTCTTTGCATATACAACAGTGAATTAATATTTCTCTGAAAGCATTCCACTCGAAGTGAATACCATTCTGCGTTTGTCACACGACTGTGGGAATGCAGCCTAGAATGATTATCATTATTACTTGGACAGGCTATTTCAATCAATGCAGACTAAGCAAATTTGTCGTTGTCGTTACTTTGTTTCTCTGATTGTTTGTTTATTTTAGCACCTTAATCATTTAGGTGATTCATCTTGAGTATATAATTAAAATGTTAGATTATTTTTTCTAATTGCCTTGCTATATCTATGCCAACTGTTTCAAAAACTTGGGAGCTTAAGATAACAGATGTTTATTTAGTTCACAACTTTGTGCTGACTGAGCAGTTTATCTAGTCTAGTCTGAGCCAACTTGGCTGATCTCTGCTGGGGTCCTTCGTGGGATGTGGTTAGCTGGTGGGTTGGCTGCTGGTTAGATGATCCAGAATGGCTTCACTCACATGTCAGGAATTGCTGGATTGTGGACCAGGGCAGCAGAGGGCTCTAGGCCTCATGTTTCTCATCATGTACACTTCTTCATATGGCAGTCATAGAATTCCAAAATTGCAAGAGCGGAAGCTTCCCAGCCTCTGAGGCCTAGGCTCCGAATTGGCACAGCATCACTTTCTCCACGTTCAACTAGCTAGAGCAGTTAACAGGGCAAGTCCATCTTCAAAGCTAGAGTAATGGGTTCTAATTTGATGAAGGATCTGCAAAGCAATGTGTTTTTTTTTTTTTTGCAAACTAATACACTTCCTATCTTATGCTTCTACAAAAATTTTGGGTGCCTAAGACAAAGGTTTTAAATTTAAACAAATTAATGGCCACTCTCAGGTCCTTGTCATGTGAACACCTTCTCCTGATGGTCAGAAAATGGCTGTTTGCCTCTTCAAGGCCAACAGGAGAAAATTCACAGGCGTTTTGAAACTCTTCCCTCAGGAAGGGCTGAAAACTTCAAGGTTATAAAGGGTTGATTGGATCAGGCCCACCCAGGATAATCTCTCTTTTGATTCCTCAAAAGCGTCGGGGCCTTAATTACATATTCAAATTCCTTCCTTTGTCATATAATGTAACCTAATCATGAGAGCAAAATTAATCCTGTTCACCATCCTGCCCACTCAAGACAAGAGAGCTTAATACAGGGCTTGTACACCAAGGGGCAGCAACCTTGGAAGGCATCTCAGAACTCTCCCTCCCACATGCATTTTCTCCATAAGAGTCTAACATCTCCTTCTAATTTCGCCTTCCTATCTGGCCTCTTGATCCTTCACTCTCGGGAACGATTTGTATTTCCTAGGAACAAGGAGGTAAAAGCCACCAAATGGGCCCCTCTCATTTACAAAATATGGGTCTCTACTCTCTTCCTACTCCTTCCTTTCAGAGATAAAGGTATCATTTATACTTCCTAAAATTAATCTTTTTCTCGTAATCCGGATCCTTTTGAATCCTAACTTTTTATTACAATTTTTATTGATTATAAATACTTTTATCTTCTGTCTTTCAATGCTTCCTTTTCTTTTCTGCAGACTCCACTATTTGACACAAGTGTTTCTCAGCCCTTATAATAATAATTATTATTATTATTATTGGCCCCTTTAGGAAACTTTTTATTTCCTCCTTCTCACAGGATGGGAATACTTGAAAGACAAGGTTTAACCTCCCATCCGTATCACAACTCCCTGTAATTTAACTTTTGCCCTTACATTTTTATTGAATTTTTCACAAAGGTCGGTACTGTCTTCTTCTTTGCTTAAACTAATGGATACAGTTTAGTTCTTATCACATTTGAACTCTTTTTGACATTTACGCTGTTGATCTTTTCTTCTTGAAACTCTGTCCTTCCTTGTCCTCCAGGAAAGCAACGTTTCCATTGTGACTTGTTTCACTCTTTTCTCTGTGGCATGTTTTTCTCTATCTCTCTTAGTGTTCCATTTTGGAATTCTTTTTACCTTTATATGCTTTGTGAGTCAGCTCATTCCAGGTCTTCAACTGTCACCTCCATATTGACGACACGACTCACTACCTCCAGTCTAGATTTCTCTCGGGAGCTCCAGACGCATTCACCTTCCTGATTTTCATGGCCCACAAATATTCGAGACCTAGCACTCTCATTTCAACTGCTGGTTCCTACTTATACTCCCTATTTTGATGGCATTATTTTCAACATAAGCTATATGACAGAAACCTAAAGATCTCCTTCTTGACTAGTCCCCTTTCTTAGTCCCCATAACTAATCATTTATTTATAATAAAATAAAATAAGTTGATACTATCTTATTTTGATTATGGTTCTGAATCATCTGAATCAAAGCATCAACAGCAACCCCTTGATAGAGGATCTGTCTTCAATCCAAATATCCTCCAGCACATCCTTTGTACTGCTGCTAGAATCATCTTTTAAAGTATAAATCTGATCATGATACCTTTTTGCTTAAAACCGTTCAATGATATTACTGGATTCAGAAGACAATAGGACATAGTTTATCCCTTGAACTCTCTTGCCTGTCCTAAAATCTTCTGTCTCAAAACTCATATCTATAAGAACTGTATCACTGAGAAATTTTTATACAGTGAACTCAGTTTCTATTTAGAGTTTTCAACTTACATGGGAATTTAGCTAATTCATTGCAATTCCATCCCATTAGTATTTGTTTTCTGCTAATTTATTTTATTCTGTTATTTTTAGTTTATTTCATGAAACTAAATCCTTTCTGGTAAACCCAACTTGAAATTCCTCCCCCTGTCTTTTCACCAGCATTGAGTCTAAGTTCCAGGAGCTTATTTTGTTCATGACATGGGGGAGAGACAATATCTCAGAGTTAATCCTGGTCATCTATTCAAGCTGACATCACCAGCCTTGACAGTAACTTTGATTTTTTTTTCAATATACCCTTAACCTGGCTGCAAGTTCCCTTTACAAGATGATTCTGAAGGTCATGTCCGCATCCCTTAAACTTAGAAAATTTAAAGTGGGGCCTAGAGGACTCCATAAGGTGGATTCAGGCCTATAAGATTGCCTCATACAAAGTACTCCTCTTTCTAATCTATTCTTTTGTGTTAAGGTGGCTCGAGGTTCCTGACAAAGGAGCTGATCTATCCAAGACAGTTGAAAAGTAGGACATAGGTCTGTTTGCTCTCAGATCCAGATATTTGTTATATATTTTTGTACTATCATCTCCTTTTAGAATTGACTTTGACATCCTATTGCACATGGTTTCTTACCAGAATATCATCAGCTATTAACTCACTTGATACCCTTTAACCCCATCTCCGGATTCCTAACCTCCCTTGTGCCCCAGATCAGAAGCTCTGGGGAAAGAGATTTGGATAAACTTGTGACTGATTTTTCTGGGCATCCTGATTGTCAGGGTCTAGAATTCAGCCTCCATTCCACTTGCTAAGGCTCATACCCTGGTTAGGGGCAGCCAGGGGAAGGAGCACCTTTTTGCAATATGTCTACCTGGAGGAAGTACCTTTTCTTAATCACATAAAATTATGACATTTGCTTGTAGGACTCTCTTGTCCCCATAGTCGTGTTCTAGTAAAAGTGAACAACTTACAGGTATCAAATATGCCTTGATCTCTAATACTTGGGTGCCTTATATACATAATTTCTCTACCCCGCCTATACTAAATAATTGCTGTACATCCTTCAAACTTCAGCTCAGGGGGCATATCACCGAGGAACCTCTTTACATTTCCTTTCTCTTTTCTGGCTCATAATTACTTTCCTTATAATAGTGCTTTGCCCTTTGTGGTTTTTTCAAGCATTAAATGAGTTAATACAAGTGGCCTGCTTACTCACATGTTTCCGGTATATACTCAGCTCTCAATAACGTAGTGCCTCATTCATTTTCAGTGCCCAATAATATTGGTTCGTAGTCAAAGATTAATTGGAAAAATAATCCAAAGTACAATAAGCTTCATGCAATGTCTCTGTTAAAATCTTACATAACTTTGAAAGGCTGGCTTTTGCCCAATTTGTCCTCTACAGATGGTCTCTAAGCTTTCCTTTTTCCTCTGCAACACCTTTGAAATTAATCTGTCCTTGTCCTTGCTACAAAATAATTTTCATATCCCTTGTTAAAGCACTGAATCTAGTCTGCACTGTATTTCTTAAGTGTAGATCTACTTTTCCTACTGTTTTCTTAATTTTTAGATGGATAGCATGCAAGTCACAGTTTCTCTTTTTCTGGACAGTTATTTATATTGACTTCTTTAAAATGTTGAACTAATCGAGAAGGGAAAGAATTCAAGCGGCAGCCTGGAAGATTCTTTAAGTAGGCCAAAAACTTTGATACGTCTCCCATATTACATTCATGCGTGTGTGTGTGTTTGTGTAAGTGTATGTGCCACATATATTTCTGCATATGCATACCTAGACTGAAGAAAAAAATACACATATTCTGTGATCAGCAGAATTCGAATATGACCCCCAATGACTAATGATCTGTTTAATTCCACTCCATTGAGTGTGTACAAGTCCTGTAAATATAATGAGATATTACTTCTGTGATTAGGTTTCCTTACATGACAAATGGGGTATTGTAGACGTACTTAAGGTGACTAATCCATGGATCCTGGGTGCACTGGACCTAATCAGTGAGTCCTTAAAGTGAAAGACTCCTTCTAGTTTTGATGTAATCAGCTGCTATGTTCAGAGAGGATCATATGGCTAGGACCTGAGAGTGGCCTCCAGGAGCTGAGAAACCCCTAGCTGACAACCAGCAGGGAAATAGGTAATTCAGTCTTACAACCTCAAGGAATAAATTTTGCCAACAACCTTAATGTGCTTGGAAGACGAAGCTGAGACTTAGATGAGATTGTAGCTCCAGCTGATACCTTGATTCTAGACTTTGAGACATTGAGCAGAAGACCTAGAAAACTCATGCCAAAATTCCTGACCCATGGACACTATGAGTGTCATGGGCTGCATGTTTGGGTCCTCTCAAAATACACGTGTTGAAATTTTAAATCCGAATGAGATGTTACTAGGAGGTGAGCCCTTTGGGAGATAATTAAGTTTAAATGAGGTCACAAGCATGGAATCTCCGTGATGGGATTAGTGTCCTCATCATGGGATGAAGAGATTGAGCTCTCTCTCTCTGCCTTGTAAGGATTCAGCAAGAAGGCATCTATCTGCAAACAAGGAAAAGGGTCCTTGCCACAAACTGAATTAGCCAGCACCTTGACCTCAGACTTCCCAGCCTCCAGAACCGTAAGAAATAAATGTGTATTGTTTAAGCCACCCAGTCTACAGTATTTTGTTATAGCAGCCTGGACTGCTTAAGACAACGAGATAATACATTTTCATTATTTTAAGCCTCTACATTTGTGGTAATTTGTCACACATCAATATCAACCTAATAAGTTATTTTAAATAAAAAGATAAGAGACTCTGTTTTTTTATTGAGACTTATATATACCTTGTCTTTTGTTTGTAGCTGAGTAAAGAGCACTAAGCCCATTCTCTAGAAGTATTTTATGGGAAAATACCTGTGAAGCACCGCAGAGAAAATGAGATGCAGCCATAACCATCGGCGTTTAGGAGAGAAAGACTGTGGCATTCACCTTAGGCCAGGCTCCACAGCACCAGAGTAGACATGGCTTTTTAACAGAACAAGTTCACTCTCCTGCCCCAATAAGACTGTGTGCTCCTTTGCTAATGACACCATACTGAGAAAGACAAGGTAATCATGTAAAGCACCTCTATCCCAAGAAGTGTTAAATGAGGCACCTATATTTATCCCTTTTCTCCCCACAAAATACCTTGAAATGACACTATGGAGAGCTCATTTTAGGCTAAGCACAGAGTGACAGTTTTCTCCTTCTGCAGGAGAAGGATAATCAGGTTCATTAATCCGTTCAGACCCCCAGGGTATCATTTATTAAATTGCTCCCAATGTGCCTTATTCACTCCCAGGAAATAATTTACATACTAGGGAAATTTGATTCACTATCAAGCATATCCCATTTTAAACAATTCTCATTTTCATTCCTTGGTAGAAGGTAATAACTTATGCAAAATATGTGCAGACATAGATTATGCCATGCTGGGAAATTATTGAAGTATTACTTTCAGGATGCCAATATTCCATGAAAATATCCGCAATATATAATTCAATGAATTTAATGAGGATTTTTTTCCATGTTTTTCTTCCCCTATCTCCTTCCCTCCTCCGCTAAAAAGATAATTAAAGTAATCTTATGTAAAATGTTAGGATCTGGAAGCATAGGCTTATTGATGAACAGGAATGGAAGTCATAAAGGTGACTTCTTTCATTATTCTGCCTGTCTGTCAAGGGGATCACAGCTGAAACTATTCTGTGTTATGGAAGCAACCATCTAAATGGTTAATTGCACTTGAAGACACTTCGCTTCCCAACTGAAACAACACTAGCTGTCTTATTCAGAGAGAAAATTCACTTGGTTTTATGTTTCAGTAATAAAGTCATGTTTCATCTGGTTAAGCTTTAACTATTTTTCTGGAACAAGAAATCTCTACACAAAACAAACACTTCTATGTAGCACTTACCACGTGCCTAGGTATTTTTCCAAGTTTACGCATCTTCACTCTAATATTCCTTCAAACAGCCCTGTGAGAGAGACACTACAATTATCACAATTGAAAAATGAGGAAATTGAGTCAGACCAACCAAATAATACAAAAACTACTTATGAATCTTTTCCCGATGAGCAGCCTCTATGAGACTGCTTGATTTTCTAACAATGTAAATATTTCCCTCTTGCAAAGATAGCTCCTAAAATTCAAACTGTGTAAACGATAACATATTGAATGAAACAGCAAGTGAAAATCTATTCCATTCTCAACTATTACCTTCTGCCTTCAGTTGCTAATGAATGACCTCAAGTGAGAAAAATACAATCCAGTCCCAGCACTTCTACTAACTAGCTGTGCCTCCTTATGCCTTAGTTATCTTAACTAGAAAATAAGTGGATGGTGCTCATAAGAATCCTTTAAGATACGACACTCTACGTTTTTTCCTAATATTTATTTATAAATGGTATATGACTTGGTTAAAAACTGAAAAATAAAGTTACAATCAGGAATATGTTGAGGTGTGAATGCCCTCACAATCCCCCACACCATCCAGAAAAACAATTGCACAACTATAGTCAGAGGAAATATTTTCTAAGTATAAAGATGGAGTAAATCTTCTAATCTAGTGCGTTTGCTTCTCTACAAACCCGCCAAATATCCAACTCCAACTGTGATTATGTAACCATAGGCCCATTTAGAGCCAGTTGGAACAGACCCCACTCTTATCACTAAAGTGATGAAAGATTGTTTTTCAGAAAAACTATAAAGTCACACATAGCCAGAGCATGTGTAAAAGAAGAAATTGTGACCTGAAACGACCGAGGAACCAAAGATCCTACTTCCAACGGAACCCAAGGTCAAAGTCATGACCAGAACTTGAAAGTTGGACTCTTCTCAGAAGCGAGGGGTCTCTCATTCAGGAAGACCCAGTGTTAAAATTCCTTCCCCACCTCATCAAAAATGTTTAGAACCACATCATAAAAGTTCAGAACCTCGTCATAAACATTTAGAACCCTGTCATAAGTATTTAAACCTCACCATAAATGTTGGAAGCCCACCAATCAAAACCTGTCCCGCCAGTGTTTCTGCATGCCAGCTTGTTCTCCCTAAGCTCTCAAATTTTACCCCAAGTCCTGAATCAGCGAGACAGATCTGAGGGCACATGCCCCCTGTTCTCCCTGCAGATCAACCTCACAGAATAAAGCTGGTCTCTTTTTCCAAAGGCTGATGACGTAATTGATTGGCATTTTATATGCTTTGGGCAAGTGAACCCCAATGTTGTGCTGTAAAAATTCCAAGACATTCCTTTATTCAGATAACAAATCACAGCTTAAGTGATCAATTTGATGACCAATAGCATATTGAAGATCCTGCCCCCGAAACATGTGAGTTTTCCCAGCTATAGCAAAATCTTAAGATCAATGGAGTAGTGATTGAAACTTCTACCTCTTTCTAGTCTCAGAGAAGCAGTTTGCAGAATGCTGTGAAATTGACATTACTTTCCCTGCTGCAATTGGTCATGTATTTTAATCTTAAAAGATGTAAATTGTAGGCTTATAAGAGTGAAAGAACTGTCTCCATGCTGGCAGAAAATATTTTAAATTATTTTCTGACAGTGCAAAACTATAGCGACTGAGACTTTAGCTGATGGACAGTTGGGAATTTGGAGTGCAAATCAGAAAGTCAGCTAAGAAACAAGGTTTTTTCCTTGATGTTGTCGTTGTTCCAGCTGCTATTCTTCTCTCCCTCTAAGCGCCAACTTTTTAATTTTGACAACTTGCAAGACAATGACAGGCAAGCCTGTTTCACAGTTTCAGAGCCTAGACTACTTCCAATAAAATAGCAAATTGATGGAATGGATGTGACAAACTTTTATTCTTCCAAACGTAAATAGATTACTGTTTGATAGTTAATCACACTCATCAATAGATGATGTTAGATGGGATATGAGTTTGCCGTAGTTTTATTTTTTTGAGACAGTTGATTTTCAATATGTAAAAAAATCCAAAAAAATTAACTCTGAGAATACAACTCAGGGAAGGAGGAAAAAGTGGAACTTCAGAGCAAGGGTGAAGTGCATGATCGTTTAAGTTATCATGCTCCCACACTGCCAACACCCACAACACAGAGGAACCCCGAATAGTAACTCAGAAATGGCCACAGCAGGAACTAAGAAAAGAATTTTGGTTGTCCTTGATTATCTTGTTCTGGGATGAATAAAATCCACTCTAGGGACAGGTAAGGGAAACTTATAGTAGGAAAAGTACTAAACGTACCAAACACAGTAGTAAAAATCACCCCATAGCAGAAGTGTGCCCTCAAAAGAATGGGGGAACAATCAGGTAGCTAAATTACTAGGTTGTTTCACCCCCACCCAGCCAAAATTAAATAATATGGAAGTATAGATAGAATATTGTAACCCAGACATTTCTCCAGGTGAGTGTGAGTGAAGAAGCTTGTGCCAGCTATTGCATGAACTCATGGAAGAGCCAGTTCAGAAAAGAGCACCAAGGGCTGGCCCTATGGCTGAGTGGTTAAAGTTCTGTGTGCTCCACTTCGGTGGCCTGGGTTTGTGGGTTTGGATCCCGGGTGTGGACCTACTTTACTCATCAGCCATGCTGTGGAGGCATACCAAATACAAAATAGAATAGCATTGGCATGGATGTTAGCTCACAGCTCACCTTCCTCAAGCACAAAAAAAAAAGAAAGAAAGAAAAGACGGACTGGTTGTGACTGTTGTCAGGAGGGACACATGAAAAGGAGACCTTGCCGCTTCTCAGCGGCCTGGGGTTTGCCAGTTCGGATCCCTGGTGCGGACATGGCACCCCTTGGCAAGCCATGCTGTGGTAGGCATCCCGCATATAAAGTAGAGGAAGATGGGCACAGATGCTAGCTCAAGGTCAGGCTTCCTCAACAAAAAGAGGAGGATTGGCAGCAGTTAGCTCAGGGCTAATCTTCCCCCCCCACCAAAAAAAAAAAAAGAAAAGGAGACCTCGATATTGCAGCAACTTGTTTCTCACCCAGAAAGCCCAGTTTTGATAGTTTAAAAGCTGCACCATAAATGCTAGTTTTTAATGATGTCAAGGGACTGTACAGCATAGAACCATTTTTAAGAGTGCAGGCTCTGCAATCAGACAGAACTAGAACCAAATTTTCGCTCTTTTCTTTATTTCCCATGTGACATTTGGTAAACAGCTAAATACTTCTCAGGGCTAATCTTTAAAAATGGAGAATCTACCTTAATTGTTTTCTACAAATTATGCAAGATAATGCCTAACAAGACGTTAGCACATTTCTTGGCATATAAACCACAATTGATAAATAAGAAATTTTTATTATTTCTGTGAGTTAGTTCCAAAAGGCTTAGAAGAAATCAAAATTAACCCCTTATTGAATATAGGATTTGCAAATACTTTCTCATAGTTGGTGGGTTGTCTTTTCATTTTATTCCTGGTTTCCTTTGCTGTGCAGAAGTTTTTAGTCTGATCTAGTCCTATTGGTTTATTTTTTCTTTTGTTTCCCTTGCCTGGAGAGTCATGGTATTCAAAAAGATGCTTATGAGAGTGATGTGAAAAGCTTACTGCCTATGCTTTCTTCTAGGAGTTTTATGGTTTCAGGTCATACATTCAAGACTTTCATCCATTTTGCAACTCAACAACAAAAAAATCAACCTGATCAAAAAATAAGCAGAGGATATGAACAGATATTTTTCCAAAGAAGATATACAGATGGCCAACAGGCACATGAAAAGATGTTCAACATCACTACTTATTAGGGAAATGCGAATCAAACCCACAATGAGATAGCACCTCACACGTCTCAGAATAGTTATTATAAGAAGATAAGAAATGACAAGTGCTAGAGAGGATGTGGAGAAAAGGGAACTCTTATACACTGCTGGTGGGAATGCAAAGTGATGCAGCCACTGTGGAAAACAGGATGGAGATTTCTCAAAAAATTAAAAATAGAAACTCCGTATGATCTAGCCATTCCACTTCTGAGTGTTTATCCAAAGAACATAAAAACACTAATTTGAAAAGATGTATGCACCCCTATGTTTATCGCAGCATTATTCACAATAGTCAAGACTTGGAAGCAACCCAAGTGCCCACCAATGGACGAATGGATATATACACAACAATGGACCACTCAGCCATGAAAAAGGGTAAAACCGTGTCATTTGTGACAAAATGGATGGACCTTGAGGGTATCATGCTAAGTGAAATAAGTCAGAGATAAAGACAAATATTGTATGATTTCACTGGTATGGGGAAGATAAACAAACAAACACATAGATACAGAGAATAGATTGGTGGTTACCAGAGAGGAAGGAGGTGGGGGATGGCACAAAGGGTAAAGGGGCACATATGTATGGTGACAGATGAGAACTAGACTTTTGGTGGTGAACACAATGCAGTCTATACAGAAGCGAAAATATAATGATGTAAACCTGAAATTTGCACAATGTTATAAGCCGATGTTACTTCAATAAAATAATTTTATAAAAAATAAATCTAACAAGTGCTTTTTGATGAGTTTAAAAGGAACGGAAGCTTCTAAGTTCTACACTGTTGGGGTGGAATGTAGACAGGTGTAGGAGAGGAAAAATAACTATTTTCTTCTACCTTTCTATGTTCTTGGCTGGCTCTCTGTAACAAAAGACAGGTTAACAAGAGAAAAGCATACAAATTATTTGTTTTACACGAGATGGGAGGCTTCATAAGGAAATGAAGACTGAAAAAATGGTTAAACCTGGTCTTTTTTGTACAGGTGTGATGAAGAATGAAAAGCTGTGGAAAAATAGTACAGGACAAAAGGATCTGAGCTAAGCGTAGTTAAATGGAGGAACCACAGGGCCTGTTCCTTCCGATTCCTCTCTGCCTTCCTCCCTCTTCAGAGATACTTTTCCTCCGGTTTTAGCGAGGGCATCTCTCACAGGGAGGTCTTATGATCTTCCTCAGGGGAAGTTCAGAGGGTCCTTCCAGTACCTGTTTTCTCTCAGATTCTTTCAGCTTAAAATTCTTCAACATGCCAAGGCACCATCTTTTGGGTTGCACATCCTGAACCCTGTCGCAGGGGAGCCATTTTTCAGACCCTCAGGGGATGTTACAGGACTGAAGGAGCAGCTTCCATTCACAAGAAGTTGGTAAGATGGGATTTTATTTCACCTTCTTTGGGGGAAGTTTTTAAAGGTGATATTACGGAACTAAATACAATTTGAGGTTAAAAAAGTTGCCGGGGATTCTCATTAAAAATGTTTGTGTTTATAAATATCTAATTAAGATCAGTCAAATAATTACCAGCAATCCTCTCTAATTGTGCAGCTTCATGCTTAGAGCTGTGTAACATTTATCTTTTCTGGAAGAAAGACATCATTCCATATTTCTTTTGTGTTTTAGCCAGCACTTAGGCTGAAACACAGTAAGCATGCCATAAAATTTATTGAAATCAAAGAAATGATTGAATTATAGAAGGAACAAATTTTGACTGTCTTACATTAAGGAGAGGTTTATTAGTTAGCAGGCAAGAAAGGTAGTAAAGATATAATTGCAAACATCTGAAGGGAACTCAAATATTTATTCAGGTATTTAGACAACTGCTATACTCTGTTAGAATTGTCTAAGCAGTTGTTAAAACAAGTTTTAAACAATTATTGTAGAATAAGGATGCTAATTGTAACTAAAGTCAGTATTTAAAGACTCTGGCAAAAGCATGTTGTTACTATGAAGATTCTATAGCTATAATACTTTTTGGTATTGTGAATTGTGGACTAAAATTCAAAAATTATCTTGATATTTGATAGTGTATAAACTCAGATGAGTAGAGTTTTGTTCAAACTACTAAATAGTTTAGTTCTGTGAAAGTTGTCAATAATGCAAGTTTCTTTAAAGTGAATTGTATTTTACCATTTATTTCTATGACAAATAAAATAATTTCCATGA